TAGCAACAGCAATTTGTTCACTGACTGAATGTGACTCTGTGTGTGTTTTCTCTAGTGTGGATCATGGAGGAGAATCCAGGATTACAACAGGACCACAGAAATGTATGTCTAAACACACTCACACACACACTCTCTCTCTCTCTCTCTCTCTCTCTCACACACACACACACACACACACACACACACACACACTCGTTTTTATACACTTTGTGAGTGACCCCTGTCCACAAATCAGTCTGAATGAAAAAATAAAGGCTGCTAATAGGAGGACTAGTTAAAATGTAAACACACCATCAGTGCCGAATGTCTTGTGGGCAGCGCGCCAACATATAGAGCCGTTGTGCTACAGGCTTCTTGAGTTCAGATCCCTGGCTCCAGGACCTTTCCTGATCCCGCCCCCCTCTCTCTCTCTCTCTCTCGCTCCCAGCTCTACACTGTCCTATTTAAATAAAAGCAAAAACGTCAAAAATAAATCTTAAGAAAAGTAAACGAACAGCTCACCCATTTAGAAATCACCACTTTATGTCAAGTCTAAATCAAACTTAAGATTGAAAACATGATCTGTGGGGTTTAAGTGAGCAATCAGCTCGGTGGAACTGAAGGTACATCTTCATGTCTGTGACCAGTGTTTACTGAGCTTTGATGGCTGATGAATGAACAAAAGTTGACTATTAAAAGAACAGCTGAACATCAGTTCACAAATAAAACATATTGTTTAAATTAATGAGATGTATTAGGGCTGGGCAATATGGCTTAAAAATTGATCACGCTAAAAATGTTCATTTCAGTCGATATCGATAATTATCACAATACATTTCAAATCTTTATTTCTTTCAAGTTTAAAGTCCACGTGAACCAGAAGTTGCTGCCGACTTTATTTCAGTGTAGTGAGGTATTTCCAGCTGAAACGGAATATTGAATAGAGGGCATGGTTTTATGTTTGCGCTCCTCCTCTGTCTCTCACTCATAGCAATCTAACGGTTGGAGGGGTGTGTTTAAGGATATTCTGCCCAAGCCGTCAAACTGACGTCATCAGAAAAGGAATGCCATGTTCAGATTCTGATTAAAGATTACGAAGACAAACACATTTTTTCAGCGGATTAACTTGCACGGATTAATTGTTTACATCAAGACTAGCAATGTGCGCTAGTAAAGTAAATAAAGTCAATTTTGATTTCATGCAGACTTTAAAGGCAGATTTTTGCTCTTAAGTGAAAGTTGTAGAAACCAGACTGTTGGTTTTAAACTACTCTTTATGGTCAGAACATGACAAACACTTAACGTTTCTAAATTCTTTACAGTTTTCCACTAATTTTCCTTAACAAAATAAATATCTTAATAGAAAAATATATGTTTTAGTCTCTGCATGTTGTAGTGAGTGATATATAAATCATGAAGCTGGTTTGTGTTGCTGTCTTTGACACGCATCTTCAGCACAGTTTGCAGTGCAGGCTGCAATATTAATAATATTACATTTTCTTGTCTCTTAGAAATGGACATTTGACAGTAGCTTGGGTTTGGATGCAGATGTAAGTTTATGTTCATTATCAAAAACAGGAACATCTGTAAAAATTGTAACAACCTTATTTTTATACGGTGAAATTTAGTTAATCTGACTGTTTGAGTTTTAATCTAAGTCTTCCATAGTAGCAAACAGTTAGACCTTGATAACCACAGTTAAAACCACACATATAGCACCTCAATACCATGGTAAAAATATAACTGTATGGGTTCTAGGTATTTGTATGAAAAGCAGTAGTCTAAATACACAAACGCTATAGCTTAATCACAAAAAAACTGTAATTATATTCCATTACTCCTTTAATACAATTAATTAATGTCTATATTATTAATATAAATTACTATGAATATCCCACATTTCTGCCACAATGCCATGGTGCCGTTAGTGTTACTACAGTAAATCCATGGTAAATTATGGTGATTTGTAGATTGTGAGCAATGATACAGTCAGAAGACTTTTCAGTGTTTCTCCTGTTTGTCAGCACTGTTTCATCTGGATATAAACTAGTATAAATCACTGAGTTCTTCACTGAATTCAAGCTCTTCACACTGGATCTCACATCGTTGTTTAGTGTCGTATGACCGAGACTCATCAGCGAATCATGTCTCTCTCTTTCTCACACTCCAGTGGGGACATAATTACTGATTATAACGACTTATACGGTGTTTTTACGCATTGCGTTGCGTATCGCGCTGCATAGACATAAAACCATGTCTGCATTTGTGATCGGAGAAACGACAAACAACAAGCAACAAGTGTAACATTGCTCAAAACTTGCGTTTGAATCATCAGTGGCAAATTCTTTAAATATGAAAATGTACCTACAGGCTGTGAGTCAGAAGTGCCAGACTGTCCTTGCAAAGTTGGAACTGCCCAACTTTATAGAAACAGACACTGGCATTGTAGGCTACTCTTCAGTCCTCATCCTCTTTAAAATGCACTGCACACATCTGAATATTTGGGTTGAACTGTTCTGGAACAGCGTTGTAGATACAACTTAACCACTGATTTCTAGTTGTGTCCTCTTTTGGAAGGCCAAACAAACTCCGGTCCTGGAGAGCCGCAGTCCTGCAGAGTTCAGCTCCAACCCTAATTAAAACTCACCTGCCTGTAGCTTTCTAGTAACCATTCAGACCTTGATTAGCTCGTTCAGGTGTGTTTGATTAGGGTTGAAGCAAAACTCTGCAGGGCTGCGGCTCTCCAGGACCAACGTTCGCCACCCCTTATGTATAGGATGATGACGATGATGCATCAGTCAATGTGAAAAAATAGAATAATTTGACATTTGAGCTATGACAACTAAATAAACAAATCTAGCACTACAGGGGGTAAGATAGCCTTGTGTTTATTCTTAAAAAACGCATCCTCTTATAACATTTGTATTTTTTTAATTATAATAAGTGTTACATTTAAAGCTAAATTCTGTGCCGATTCTGGGGGGTCTAATTACCCCAAGGGTCTAATTTTATTATTTCACTTCAAAATAAAATATTGCTTACTCCACAAATCTGAAAATATTAGTGGGTTCACAGATCACTACTTATCAAATACACAATGTCATAGACAACGTCAAAATAGTCATAGATTTTCCAGTGACACAAAACTAAATCAACCTCAAAACTGTTTTGACTAAATCAGAATAAATCTCATAAATGTTGATAATCAGATGAAATGACAAAAATGCTGTCTATGATCAAGAAAATTAGGGTGAGAGTGGAGGGTCATCTTGCCCCATCTTACCCTACATGTGTTATGAACATAAGCTTGTACAAATGTACTTGTCAGTCAGCCATAATCACAAAATGATCTAAAAAAATGATCATACCTCTCTTTCTTTTGAACGCTGGGTCTGCTGGAAGTGTAGCGTCATCTTCACATGCAGTGTGCTGCGGTGACGATACTTTAGTGGACTCTGAAAACAAAAATGAAGCCGGTCTGATCGTTGACAAATCTCTGCATAAAGCTGACAAACTATGAATCATTCGGGTTTGTTTTAGGGTTGTTTTTTTACTATAACCTTTCAACTCATGGAGGATAAAGATACCGTATATTCCAAATAAACCAAGTACATGTCACTATTTTTAGGCTTTAGTCTCAAAAATAAAGGCTGTGCCTCAATATAAATATGTTTTGTGACAAACATTAATATATACACATGTACCAGACATGTTCACAAATCTTTATTCTATTTTTAGCAATAGTTTTTTTCAGATAGTTACAGTAATTATCAGCATATGAGGCTAAATCGAGAGCATAAGCTGCACGTCTGCAGTGGAAGCAAACAGAAAACAGATTTGGCAACAAAACCATAGTGACTGCTGCTTCTCTGTCAATTTTCTGGAATTAAACTCATATATATCAGTGTATCTTTGGAATAATCTGCCTTTCCATGAACATCTCTCTGCTTGTAAGGCTGCTAGATGTTAAACTGAAATGCTGCAAGCAGAAGTAGTTGTGCAAGCAGTCAAGAGAGTAAAAAGTCAAAAAGGATCCAGAGATGAATCACAAATAATTCCAAGTAATTTACCATCCCCAGAAACAACCTCATTTTCTAAGTAGTATTTGATCAAAAGAAATAGAAACATACATTACAAAAAATATGATCCGTAACAATTTGACAGTGTAATTGTTACCTTTCGGCCTGTAATTATTAGATTCCTCCAGTGGTGGACAGCAACGGAGTAGTTTTACTTGTTACTGTACTTAAATTGAGTAACTTTTACTTCACTACATTTCATATTGTTACTCCTGTTACGGAAGAGGCTTGACACAACAGGTTAGTTTTATACAAACAGTTTATTAGGTCACAGTGAGTACTGGTGTCGGGTCCTGGAGGAAGTCATGGGGAGGGAAAGGTCCGTGAGAGCGTGCAAAGGATATGGAGAGTGGAGTAATCCGAGTCTTGGGCTTGAGTGAGGCTGGAAGGTATCCGGGGGAAGCACACACCTCAGCGATCCGGGAACTAGGAGATGCAGGAGACACTTGGAGACGGGGAGACACTAGGAGGAACACCGGAGGTAAGTAATGCACGAAGTATTCAAAGGTAATCAGCAGCAAAATCAGAGAGTCCTCTACGTGTAAACGAGACCGGACAGTGAGGGTGTCTGAGGTGTGTGCTTTTATGCAGGCTGGTAATGAGGTGCTTGATTGGTGACAGGTGCGGGTGCTTAGAACTCAGGTGAGAGGGATCGTTGTGATTGGGTGGTGACAGAGTCTGGCCGATCTGTGACAACTCCTTATTGGGGAAGTCGTGACCTAATGGTTAGAGAGTCGGACTCGTAATCCAAAGGTTGCCGATTCGAGTCTCATACCGGCAAGGATTGTAGGTGGGGGGAGTGAATGTGCAGCACTCTCTCCCACCTTCAGTACCATGACTGAGGTGCCCTTGAGCAAGGCACCGAACCTCCAACTGCTCCCCGGGCGCCGCAGCTTAAATGGCTGCCCACTGCTCCGGGTGTGTGTTCACGGTGTGTGTGTGTTCCCTGCTGTGTGTGTGCACTTTGGATGGGTTAAACGCAGAGCACTAATTCCTAGTGTGGGTAACCATACTTGGCCACATGTTACTTTCACTTTATAATATATCATGTGCTC